CACTGTAAAATCTTTTACAAGCTCCAACCCATCCCCCACTCCCAGCCTTAGCCGTCACCCGTGCTAGCTGTTGTGTCGCGAAGAGACGACAGACCCGTCGGCCGATCGGACGCTCAGTGCCCAAGCGGGGGGCGGGGGGAGCAGTGTTTCCTGTGCTACTGCTCTCACCGCTCCACGCTTGGTCACTGAGCGTCCGATCGGCCGACCGGTCTGTCGTCTCTTCGCGACACAACAGCTAGCACGGGTGACGGCCAAGGCTGGTGTGGGCCAAGGCGGGGGTGTGTGGAGCTGCAAACAGTTGTCGACATGGTCAAGAGCAGTTCCTGTGTGTTGGGCGTGGTGGTGGGCATGTTGGTTGTGGCATGGGCGCAAAGTGGCGCGGGCGGGCATGGGCTTGGCGCCGCCAGGGACATTGTTGCCCGGTGGCAAACCACGACCTTTTCACAGCTACTCTGCGGTGGCGACGACGACGACGACCATTGCCCAAACCTCGGCAATGACGGATCATGCGGGCTAGAGGTGATCGAGGCGAGCGGATGGCGATGGGACAACTTCTCTGAGGCCTACCGCGACACGCCTGTGGTGCTCATGCTCGACGAGGAGGTCATGGCCCATTTTGCGGCGGTGACGGAGCGGGAGGCTCTGCTGGCGTCGATGGGGAACGCCATGGTCACGCTCTCGTCGTCGAACACCCACTCGTACACCAAAGTCCGCGGCATGCTTGCCGACTACGTCACCGAGGAAATGCCCAAGGCCGGGAGCACGAGCGATGCCGAGGACTCGTTCTATCTCTTTGGCGACCACACGGCCGAGTGGTACGGCTTCATCGACGAGCACTACACCATGCCTGCCGTGGCGGCGTCGGCGCCCATCGTCTCGCCCTCGTTCGGCATTGGTGGTGATGGCTCGGGCGTAGCGTTCCACACACACGGTCCGGCGTTTGCGCATGTGGTCCACGGCCGCAAGCGCTGGTTCCTCTCGCCGCCGGACATCCAGCCGGACTTTGATCCCTCAGTGACTACCTCGGCCTGGCTGGCGTCAGAGCGGTACACCGCATCGACCCGCGCTGCCGGGAGCGCCTGGATCGACTGCACGCTCGGGCCGCGCGAGATGCTGTTCATACCCTCGGGCTGGTGGCATGCCACGCTCAATCTCGGCGATACGGTCTTTATCTCGCTCTTTGTGTAGGCCATGCCATGGCTAGCGCCTATGAGCGTATGGCTTTGGACTTGGACTTGGACTTGGACTTGGCCTTGACCTTCGACTTGGCCTTTGCCTTGGCCTTTGCCTTTGACTTGGACTTGGACTTGGACTTGGCCGGGAGCGAGCGGCGCTTGGGGTCGGCGACACGGATGAGGGCGTGGGTGGCGGCGAGGAGGTTGCGGCCGAGGATGGCGGTCTTGCCGAGCTTCTCGCCGTCGCGGACCGAGGCGCGGACCTGATACGGCTTGCCGTGAAGGACGACGTCGACGTCAACGACGTCGCGGACATCGGTGGCGTCGTTGCCCATGCGGATGCGGACCTTGCCCTGCGACTTGAGCCGAAGCGCGCGGGCGACGGCGACCGGGATGGCGGTCATGGACGCGCCGGTGTCGACACGGACCGACATGGGAATGCCCGGAATGGCCTTGATCGGGTTCTGAAACTCGATGTCGACCATTTCCTCAAGAATAAGTAGTTCGTCAATGGCGTTGTGCGGGAAGCGAGAGGGCGGGAGCCGGAGCATGGCGTCTGCCCCATCGGCGTCATCGCGGGCGTAGTCGGTGATGTACACGGTGCGAGGGGTAGCGTCAGCGTCGGCCGCGCCCGACGACGAGTTGGCAGCCTGACCACGGCCGGGCGAGGAGCGGCCAGGAACAACGGCGGTCCGGGCATGCGTCGCCGAGCCGCCATCTGCTACGGGCGGGCGGCCGCAGCAGCCGCAGGCCCACCACGGCGCGCGGCGCGACGGCGGAGACGGCAGCGGCGCGTGTGCCGGCGAAAGGTAGTCTGCGCGCGCCGGTGAGGCCTGCGAGCCCTGGGCCACAAAGGCGTCGAGCCACGAAATGTAGTGCGGCATGGTCATCGCGTCCACGAGATCCTCAGTCTCGACCGAGACCAGAAAGTTGGAGAGGGCGAGGAGGTTGCGGCCGAGGATGGGGATGCGGCCGAGCTTGTTGCCTGTGCGGACCGAAGCCTCAACCTCGTAGACTTCTGCGCCGAGGCGGACGCCGACCATGACGACTTCGCGGCGCTCAGTGTGGTCGATACCAGTCCGGATTTTGACCTTGCGGACAACCTTGAGCCCGAGCTCGCGCTTGAGCGCCACAGGGATGGCCGTCAGCGACGCCCCGGTGTCGACCCGCGCCTCCATCACCACCGACGTGCCCGCAGCCATGGCCATAAACTCCACCTCTGTCCGCTGCGGGATGACCAGCGCGAGCTGCGGGTCGTGCTTCCGCCGCGCCGCCACAGACGTCGTCGTTCCCTCGCTCGTCTCCACCGCCGGCGGCGAGCGTGAGCTTGACGACGCCGACGACGACGTCCGCGATCGCGAGGCTGACACCGACGGCGACGGCGACACCGACGGCGATTGGGACGAGGTCAGCCCAGCAGCTGCCGACGACCTGCCTTGCGGTGGTGGTGTGGGCGAGTGTGATGCCGAGTCGTAACCATCAGCGTCGGCCGAGTCTGACGACGACGAGTCGCCCGAGCTCCGAGCCGGCGATGACTTGCTGTCTTCTGTCGTGCTTGCCGACTGATGGCTCTGCCGCGGGTGCTCAGTCTGTTCCTCCTCTTCGTGGGCCTGGCCAGGGGCAGAAGCTGGCCCACGAGCAAGAGCAGGGCCGAGAGCGAGAGCGAGAGCGGGAGCGGCGGCGGGGCGGGGGCGGCGGGAGCCGGAGCGAGAGCAGCAGGAGTAAGAGCGTCATGTAGCAGCGGCTGGTGCTGGTCCGGCTCGAAACGTCTGCTCCGTACCCTTGTCCTCTTCCGCCGAGCCATGATTTCCCACCCTGTGGCTGGCGTAGGCCACGGGTACGAGTCGGCTGGTGTCCGTAGGGCGGGGGCGGGAGTGAGAAAGGAAGGAGCCGGCCGTGGCAGGGCCACCACCCGACAAGGCCACTTTTCCAGCACCAATCTCTGTAGCCACATGGAAAAAAATTGTCCGCCCCCCCCCCCCACCCCCCCCCTAA